GAGGTCCCTTCCAACCATGAGGATTCTGTGATTGCTTTTACCCCAGGTGCATCCTTGCAGGTTGATGGGAAAAGAATGGCCCTTTTTAAATGGGTACCCTCAACCAAAACAACTGCTAACTTGTGTCCTGCTTGTGTGCCCTTGGATGCTGAGAATGTGCTGCCTTTGGCTGTAACGAGTCACAGTGAGGAGAAGACTCGTGTGTAGAAGGAGCACACTGAGGTAGAGGTTGTGGTGTCCATGGCAAGGAGTGGCTGATTTCGTGACAAACAGGAGAGAGTCTTCTGTCTCCCTCCCTGAGGAAAAGTTTGGGACCTACCAGGTGCCAAGAGATGAGATCTGTGATCTCTTGTGGTTCTTGAACTTGGCATAAAATCATGATGGTGCCTCAGGGAAGACAGTAATTTAAGCTCTGACATGCGAGTCCATAGCTGGAGTTTGTGTCCCCAGCTAGACCGTGTCTCCTGCTTCTGCTCTTCAGCTACTCTGAATAAAAAAGCTATATTCAGTTATGCTCAGCTCCAGCTGCTCCCAGGAAGAGTAGGGAAAGCGTTGGGAATTTTGGGATAGTCTCACACAAGGAGAGTTCCTCTCTCATCTAGCTCTCTGCTTTCCTTTGTTTTTCCTTTTTCCTGTGTTCAGACAAGCTGGTCTTGATGGTTTCTGTGGGCCTTGGCAGCCAGCAGGGTGGCTGTAGATGGTTTCTCCAGCAGGGTGGCTGGAGCAGGAAGCAGACACGTGTTCTCTCAGTGCACCGTCTCAGAGCTGAGTACCTACATCAGCTCTGTCACTCTAAGAGACTCTGAATAACAGCCCTGTCATTGACTTTACAACATAGGGATGTGCTCTAGCATCATCTCACCAGCATCTGGTTGAACTTCAGTCGCTACAGTGAACGTAAGGGCAATTTGTGTGTCTCCAGATTAATTTAGTTCTGTTCAAAAAAATACCTCACTTTCCTCAATCTTAAGGTTTTCTTGGTCGGTGTTTAGGGCAGCACAATAGAGGCTCCCAGAGAAATTCAGCCCGTGCTCCGAGCTCTCCATGGCATGTGGTCGGTCAAACAGCTGGAAGGGGCCAAGGGCTTGAACCCTTTGGAGACAGGACTTGCTGCCCTGGGGCATTCACTTTGATGGGCTTGGACTCCAGCTCCATCTGGGCCAGGGCTGAGTCATTTCTAAGCCTTAGGGCAAATGATTCCTGTCCTGAAACCAACGGTGTAATTGCCCTTTTCACAGAACTGCTGATGACAAAACACTGTGGGTTGAGCTCTCCCACACTCAGATCTCCAGCATAAATCTCGCAGTCCCTCATAACAGGATGGACCTTTGTGTCCTGGGCAGGAGGAGAGGCCCACCTCCTATGTGCAGGGTTCCCGGGAGGCAGTCGGGTGGCGTGGGAGAGGGCAGGAGGCTTGGACAAACCCAGCTAGAGATTTAATGAGAGAATTAACAGATGCTGGCGTCCAGCAAAGCCTCTGCAAGGGGCAGAGACAGAGATCACAGCCACACCAGCTCTAGTGAGGCACCAGCAGCTGCAGGGATTGCTGCCCACCTGAATCTGGGGACATTTCTTCCCCCAGAGAGCCACCATTGTTGGAGCTCTGCTGTTTGAGGGATGTCTTATTTTACCCTCTGGCTGTATGTGCTTGAACACGGGTATATGGAGACTTAAATCCCTACCTGAGCTGCTCTTGTGGAAGGGAAAATAGCAATATTGCAGAGAGGTTGCGTCAGTGAAAGTGAGCCGAGTCCAAAGCAGGATTTGGTTGTGCGCTTCGAGCGGTAGGGTTATGTGCTTGTACCAGATGGAAGGCTTTAAATTTTCATCAGCAGGTTTATAAACACAAAGAATATCCTTTTAGCAGCCCCCAGGTCTTTTACTAATAAGCTGAAAATGCTGCACTTCAATTAGTGTGGACTGGAGGCGCAGATGAAGTAGTGTATATTCTTACTGATGCTTATCCATCATGTGAGAATGAAATCAAGACATGAGTAATGACCTGTTTCAGCTGTTGGGCTTTTTTTTCTGGGGGGCTTTTGTTATTATTTTTTTTCCGTTTAACGCGTGCTTGGTCGCATAAGTGAGAGAAAATAACTAAAAATAATTTGGACCAGGCTCTCTGGCGGTGAAGCTCCGTTACAGGTGAACAGAGTGGGAGATTTCAGCCCTGCTCTTCTTCACATTGACTTCTGTAGGTGCTGGCTCAAGCCAGCACAAGGGTGTGAGAACAGCTGCGCTGTTAAGTTCAGCGTGGAAGAATAAAGTTCATAAAACTACAATTTTCATGCTACTGGGAGGTGGCCAGAGAGGTCTCAGCTTTGAAGTAACAGTGCTGTGTGCTCTCAGGGAATCCCAGCTTTCCTGGGAGGTGGGGGTGCATGGAGAGGGAAAGGGATCGATTAGTTGAATGCTGCCTTTGCCTTTCCCAGCGTGTTTGCTGGCCTGCATGGCGTGTCTGTGTCCTGCACGGGTGCCCCGGCTGAGAAGCTCTTTCTGGACCCTGCAGGCATCCAGCTGCTGGGCTGGTGCCCTGTCCTTTGTAAATTATTCAGGATTGCATCGCAACAGCAATATCGGCTGTTTAGAGGGGGCCAACTCTGCCTTGACTGATATCTTTTAGGAAGGAAAAGTGTATTTGCAAAGATTGGTCTCAGCAGATAATTTGAGAAGGGACTGGGAAATTATCAGGAAAGCTGAGGAAAGGTGGGATATAGATTGTTTCTGGGAATTCTGCGTCTAAGTTTTCATGTCTTGCCTTAAGAAGGCTTTGCTGCAAAAGTAATCCACTAAGAGGATAGGGACTGCTATTGAAAAAGCGAGATACATAAATTTGAATCAGTAACTGAAAGAAAACTGTTCTCCCAATAATATAATTGAGTACTTTCTGATTAATCAAACCCCAAAATATACCCCTGAAGTACTTACTGGTCACTTCTTCGGTGGATGGTGCTTCAGCAAAGGGTGATTTGTTTATAGGTCATACTGGCAGAGAATGGAATGGAATGGAATGGAATGGAATGGAATGGAATGGAATAGAATGGAATAGAAGAGAAGAGAATAGAATAATCATTTACATTGGAAAAGACCTTTAAGGTCATTGAGTCCAACCATTAACCCAACACTGCCAAATCCACCACTAACCCATGTCATTCAGCACCACATCTACATGTCTTACAAATACCTCCAGGGATGGTGACTCCACCACTTCCCCGGGCAGCCTGTTCCAAGGCTTGACAACCCTTACAGCGAAGAGATTTTTCCCAATATCCAATCATCTAAGATTGCAGGAGAAGGGCAGAACAGCATTGCGAAGGTCTCCCCTGACACCACGAAACCAATAGGATTTTGTTCTTCCCAGACCAGGCAGGGCTGGGATTTGTGGCTGGAGGTGGCTGCTGCTCTTTCCAGGACCTGGCGGTGAGCTGTGCGTCAGCAGGAGTGAGCCAGGAGCTCGGCACAGGGGCTTGCAATTGCCACAGGAGCCTGAGCACAAGTGCCACTTGACTGAGCCATCAGAGATGCATGAGGCTTCGGTTCTGGTTGAACAGAGGCACCACGGCTGAGAGATCACTGAGGCAAAGTGGCCCTGTTCTCTTTGATTACCTCTGATTTGCTGCTCTCATGGCGTATATCGATGTTAAAAGAAGGCTGCTAAGCTTTTCTTTGTACTGCACTGGAAATGACACGCTGCAAGAGGAGGGAGAGTTCTGTCTAAAATTGCAGAATTAAAGATGAAGTGAAATTGAAAAGAAAGATCAAAGATAGAAAGTAGGGGGAGGAAGAAAGAGGCCATGTACAGCATGACTGAACAGACATCTTAATTTCATTTTAATGAATCTCTGGCCACTCAAGAAGGAGAGGGTAGCTCTTTGTTTACTGGGAGGGGAAGAGCAGCCTTTTGCCACTGTGCTGAGATTTCCTTTGAACATGGTCTCTCACCCAAGTGAAGGACTGCACTCTGCCTCGTATTGCACAGAATTAGAAAAGACCCAGCTATTTTCTGCCTCCCTACGTCCTCCTTGTGTCAGTTGCCAATGATGGTTGGGCAACCTCTAGCTGAGCCCTGGAAAATGTTCTTCTGTGTCTCAGGTGCTTGGCAAATGGGCTGGCACGGTGGGCTCAGGGATGCAATTGCAGTTAGAGGCACTCCCTGGGTACCAGAGCCTCATTCAAGGTCTTTTTTATGGGGGGGTCATCCTACCTGCAGCTCTGTGTGGCTTCCTGATCGTCCTGGTCACATCGCTGCCAAGAGTCTCTGCTGATGCTGTATTAATTATAAGTACAAAGTGTCTCCCTTGATTGCATTGGGGTGGGAGAGAGCCCTAGCCCTGACTGTGATCCAGAGATGTGGGTCAGCAAGAAAGGAGGGGAGGAGCTAGGCAAGAATGAGTCCTCAGCCTTTACATAAACGTTATCTCTAAAAATTCCTGCAGGATGTGGGAAGAGTGTTTAGTGCACTTGGGCTGCAAAAATGGGTCTTTGTGGGAAAGCAGGTGGTCTCCTTTCCCAAACTCTCTGCAGTCACCGTACCAGTGTTGGTCTGGGGGCTCTGGGTCTGGCTGAAAGCTGAAGGACAGGACTGCACATTGTGCTGTAGGAGTAAAATTAAGAACTCTGAAAAGGGAAAAATGAGACCCGGGGATGAAGGGAGAAAAAGGAGACAGAGGCAGAACTGCTTCAGCTGCAAACGGGACTTCCCTGGGGGACAGCTGTTGTCTTCTGCAGCAGAGGATCCCAGTTCCCAGCTCTCTGGAAGTATGGCTGAGAGGAGCTAGGAGGTAGGTCACACTGCAGTGGGGTGAGGCTGGGACAACTATGAGATCCCCAAATACAGTGCTTCTTGTATGAATCTGCAGCCCAGCCGAGTGGAAAGCAGAATTTAGCTCAGCCCCTGCACAGAGCCTGTCTGCCAGGCTGCAGGGAGAGGGGACAAAAACAGATCTTGCCACAGGAATGACCTGGTGACTAATGAGTTTTCATTGATCTTGTGCTTGCAGGAGAGAGCAATCTACCCGCTGCAGTTCCTGGGAGCTTTTTTGCTGGAGGCTCTGAGAGAGCAAACATGAGATGTTCTCCAAAAGCAGGGCTGTGTGAGCCCGCTGAACCTAATGATGCTGCTTTCTCATGGACGTATGAACACGACAGTGCAGAAGACACCAGTGTCAGGAAATCTCTTGAGGATTTCTACAAAATGTACTGCAGAAAACGGCCAGACAGAACGGATCCCACCTACGAGGCTGCATCACAATGTCTGTCGCAGAAGATTTCAGAGCTGGCAAACCGGGATGGAACAAAATATGGGTTGCGTTGCCTGCAAATGGCCCAGGTGGTCTTGAACAGAGATGGGTGTAAGATCTTTCCAAACCACCCCACTACTGCTTGTTTTACAAAGCCGGATGAGGGAGAAGTTGTCTTGGAAGACAGAAAGAAAACACCCGGACTCTCAGATGACGTCCTGCAGTTCCTCTTGAAACAAACACTGACAGAACGTGGCCCTGAAGCGTCACATGAGAAGTGAGCAAGGTGCTGCTTTGTTCCTGTCATCGGAGCTTTGCTTTCATGCCATAAAGAGGTGACTTTCTTGGAGAGACACTGTTCCTCTTAGCATCACCTTCAACACCACGTATTCCATGGAGGGGTTGATCTGGAGCAGACCTTGCCACCCTGGTCCCTGTGGCAGCACCGCGTAAGGAGCATCCGTGGTCCCCGCGTAACTGCTCGGGATGTGTTGACTGATCAGGATGGGTGATGAGTGATACAGTCTGTTGCTGGGACATCAAACACGATGGTTTATACCCACCAGGCTTTTCAACTGACCTACGTCCCTACCCCAGCTGAACGGTGGCTCAGCCCAAACTCGGGCGCTGTGTGGGTGAGGATGTCCAAGTGCTGTTGGCTGTAGCTGGCTGATGGACTGAGCTTGGCACGGTGTGCCCAGACCTGGGGAGGGAACTTCAGATTTTGTTCTGTGCTTGACTGATCCTGTGCCTCCACAGGTGGCCCGTGTGTGTTTACCAACAGACATATGATCCCACAGGTCACGGCTGCAGCGCAGGCGAGCTTTCTCGACAGATAAAGTGTGTGTGTGTGCATGAAGGGGAGAGGAAATACAGCTTTGGAGAAAGTTGTGGGGTTGTTGTTTTTTTTTTTAACAGGAGGGATTAAAAAAAAAAAAAAAAGAAAGTAAAGCTTCATCGCCTTGGTGATGTTTCTAACACTTCAGATGCACCAGCTGAGCAGACTGGGGATTTTTTCCTATCTATATGAGCTGGTTTAAGAGCAACCTGAAATAGATTCCTGAGTAAAGGCTCTGCAGAGGTGTTCCTGGGGAAGCTGCAGAGATGGTGCCAGCTGCCCTGGTACCTGCCTGCTTGAGATGCAGAGGATCTAGGAAGAGCTGAGCTCGCATCTCAGCATACCCAAGACTGTGGGTCGCTTGACTGATTTTGTAGGGCACTGCTGCTTTCTCCAGCTCTCTCCCTGCCCATTAGTCCCTGCTGATTTCTGCTGCCATGGGGTAAAAAAGAAAATAAAGCTTTCCCAGAGAGGAAGCCAATGCTCATTGCTTGAGTACACTCTGTTATCTCTACTGGCACTGCACAAGGCCTTGTGATTACTTTCCTGGTGTGTTGATGGATGAGGGAGAATGTTCTGTGAGATGTTTGAACCGTGGAGGTGGTTGGCCTCTAGTAGGGATCATCTGGCATTGGTTGGTTACAGCAAAGGTTTGCTTCTTCTAACAAGTTTTGCTGCTCTTTATACCCAGAACTTTCTTGCTCTGGTTTTACTTGGCAAGATCACCGCTGGCTGCAGTGGGAGCTGGCCCAATGCACTGATTGCCCAGCTTGAGTTGTGACTGTCACTTACCCCAGGACATCAAGAGGTGACCTGAAGGACTAATTCCAAGCAGTTGTGTTTGGTCGCTGCCACCTGGGGAATTTAAAGGGCTCTGGGTCTGACGCATTGCTAGCAATTTGGCAGGCCAAATTCTCCTTTGCTTTGTGCTTCTGGAAACTGGGAGTGAATCCCAAAGGAAAAGAGCTGCACGAGGGATGCAGGACTGGTCCACCTCTGCCAAAGCCTTGGTGGGAAGGGTGCTGCTGTCACACGAGGCTCCCTCTGCTCAGCATGCAGGAGCTCTTCAAAGTGGTGACCAGGAGCATGCAGAGCTTCCCGTGCCTCTCGGGACAGGTCATTAGAGCTGTGCTTTACAGACTGCAGCTGCTCTTAGAATTGTTCTCTTCTGGAACGATGTCTCAGGCTCTAATGGAGACAGGCTGGAAGAAGGTACAGGGTAGCCCATACCAGGGTTGCCAGGCCCCCTGCTTTGCTGGAGTTTCAGCTTTGATTCATGGCTTGCTTGAGGGGCTTGCAAGGCCAGCTGGAAAAATTCAGAGCTTTATCTTCTCCAAACTTTCATTGTTAGATTTTCATTAAAATTTAGAATAGGCTTAATTATTTTATGGCAGATTTTCATATTTTAAGTGCTTACAGACGCAGAGCAGAGCTCGGCTGGATAAATTAGGCTCCAAAATCCCATTGATTTTTAATGATAACAAAACAAGCTAAAATTTTAGGGGAGTCTGACCGTCTTGTCAGGTATCTGTTGTTAGGAGACGAAACGTGGTAGAGTTTAGAATATTTGATCATTCCTACTGTGAAATTAAGAGCTCCATTTCTGGAGAAACACTTAATTTTAGGAGGTGTTTCACTGGGATCTTATAGTTCAATCACTTTTATTAGGTTAAACAAGACTGCAGCACAGAGAATAACATTCATTTCTCCTTTTCCTACTCACTGCTAATTAATTTTTTACAAACCTGTGCTGGAACCTGCTGTATGTATTGCCAAGGCTGCTGAAAGCCAAACCGTTGTATTACTCATTTCCTTGATAAACATCTCTCCTCAATTTCTTCAAGACACGGGGGGATGAATGTGTCTCTCTCCTTTGCCAGGTGTTCGAGCCAGACTCTCCAATTGCTCTGAAGAGGCTGTACTTGAAAGCAGCCCCATCCTATTTGGTATTTTATGATGCTGCGTAGAAGGAATTGTAATAACGAATATTACCTCTGGTGAGCAACAGCACAGGGGGCCTAATTTATGTTCTGTTTGCATTACTGAAGCTGATCTGCAGTTATAACTACGATGTGTTGTTTTGAATTAACTAAGTGGCGTTCTTTTTTCCTCCTGTTTTTGTTGGTTCTTTGCTTTTGTGTGTGTGTGTTGCTTTTGTGATTTTTCTCAGCCTGATGGGGGAATCTCCCCTTGTTCTGGATCCAGCAAATGGCTCTTTCACGGGCTACTTCTTGCAATGGAGTCTTTAGAAAAGTGGAAAAGCAGCTTTCAAGGACCGGTTGGCTTCAAACGTGTAGGGCTGCCCAGGAGCCTGTGTCAGATCAGCCCTCAGCTCTGCAGAGCTGCATAACCACAGCCAACGTGCTTCCCACCCCTGCAAACACAGCCACGGGCACCTTGTCTTCTGCTGCCAGCTGGAGAGGCAGGCACTTGGCCAGAGCTGTTGCTGCCCACGAACAGCAGTGTCTGGCCAGTGATGGGAGAGAGGAGGAGGAAGGACCCCGGGAAGAAGGAGAGTGCAAGGAGGAGCAGGAGGGATTTGGCAGGGGGAAGGCTTCCCCAGGGGTGCAGAGGAGTGAGTAGGTGCCTTGGGTTGAGCTTTTGGGCAGCTGCTCTCCTGGCTGTGGCCTCCAGCCACTCACCCTGCCGTCAGGGGAAGGAGACAGCCCATCCCTGGGTCAGCGAGGCTGTCCCAACAGGGCAGGGTGCTCCCAGACTGTGTTTAAACACAGCTTGAGGGCACTTCTGTGCCATTTCCCTCCCCACCAGCAGCCCTCCACCAACCTCCAGCTCTTTTCTGTCTTTCACGATCGTGCTAATGAGATCCTTGGCTTTAAAATGAAACAGATCTCTCTCTGAGCCCAAAGAGCCTGATGTCAGCCAGCAACAGAGCAACGAACCCCCACACAACCACTTCAAGTTTCTCTCTTGGAGGCCTCCTATCTCCTGTCTCAGTGGCTTCTTCCCTCTGCCAGGAAGACATGTGCCTTTGTGCATGGTTTCCACCCACTGGTTTGTCCACCCACTGGTTTGTCCATCGATGGGGTGCTTTGCTGTGGTGATATTGCTCACTGGCTGGAGAAGCCATTCATTCTCCAGCGTGGACGTGTTCAAGGAAATGTGGAGAGCAAGAGGAAGGGATGTACAGAAGGTGACAGCATGTGGGCGAAGAAGAAAGGACAGTTGGGATCTTGAAGGTCAACATCAAGGTTCCCAGTTAATGCAGTTACTCCAGTACAGCCACACCGCTTGCACCAGTTTCAGGTGCTCTGCAGCATTTCAGTGTGGAGATGGCTTTTACCTTGCCAGTCCCAGCTGCTGAGACCTCTCACCGGTTCCCTTTTCTGGCCAGATCCCAGCACAGAGTCTGTGTTTGGTGCCCAACAGCCTCATGGGGCTGCTGTTCCTGCCCTGCTGCCCCCGGCGGGTTGGCACCGCTCCCGTGCTCCGCAGGTGTTCCCAGCAAAGGCAATGGAAATTTTGCTGCTGACTTCAACCAGAGCAGGAGGAGGCCCTGCTGGCCCAGATGGCTACAAATTATGGCCAAGAGCTTTCGACTCAGTGTAATCACTCTTTGCAAATAGATTTATGCTGGGGCTGCCTGGGTTTAGGTTGCTGTCCTTGAGTCATCACGGAACTGACGCAGCTGGCTTCTTGGTGGTTCTCCTGGATGTGTTGCTCTCTTGCTTTTATGGCATGGGTGTTGCTCATGTGCTGGAGGACACACAGAACATTGGAGCAGACCCTCAGCTGCTCCCCCAACTACTCAATGGTGCTAGGGGTAAAAAAAGCAGTTGAGATGAGGACCCCCATTTCTACAGTAATAAATACATCCACAGGTGCTGCTCTGTCAGAAGCCAGAGAAGAGCATCCTGCGGGCAAAAATTATGGAGAAAGGTAACACCAGCTGCTTCAGCAATAGGTACAGGTGGAAAAAACCAACGTGCTCTTGAGAGTGCTGTCAATAATTGCAGTAACAGTGCTGGCCTCTCCCTGCCGGCGCGTGGTGCTTCACCACCACAGGTCCACCACCGCTCCCAGGGCATGAACGCTGATGGATGTGGGGAGCTGTTGCTAAGGATGTTCAGGGAGGAAGGAAGATCTTCAGTGGGAATTGCATGTTGTTGCTTATAATTTTTCGCCAGCGTTTATGCTGTTCCATACAGTTAAGGTTTTGCACGTAAACTCGTGTTTTTAACTGCCATTCCCAGAAAGAGAGAGCTGGAGGAGTCGGAGGATGATGTCTGAATCCCTTCAGTTGTTGTACCTGGTTTGGTCTTCCAGCCTCAATGATTCTATGATTCTATGAATTGGTCTTTTCTTTGGATTAGCTCTGAAACCACCTGGTCTCCTATTCAGATTTGAAAAAAAAAAAAAAAAGAAAAAGAAAAGCCAAGCCCATACAATTTCCACATTGGATCAAAACCTGAGGTTCCTGTTCTTTAGGAGATTCCTGCTGCTACTGATGTTTGAGAGATACCTGCTGGGTTTTGATGGAAAAGAAGCCCTAATGGACTCTAGTCTGACCCTCGGTCAGCCCCAGAGCTGGCCATGGCCTTCCCCACTCATAACAAATGTGGGGGATCTGCCTGGAGCCCCTCTTTGGGGCTCTGAGGAGAAAGGGTGCCTGCAGGGTGCTCCTCCTGCGGCCTGGAAAAACCTGAGCTGCCGGCTTTTCATCCGCTTTTTTGAATGAGATTTAGAAAACACTCTAGGGAATAGCTGCTCACTTGTGGTTTTAAATGGTGGTAAAATGAGGTAATCTTGGTTTGGAAGGTGTGTGGCCATGAAGGACGTTAGTCTGGGGTCCTGCTTCTCCGCGCACCAGAGGACCAGGCAGGAGGAGATGTGCCTCTGGAGAGGTCCTGCTTCTGCTTCATCTCCTCCAGGCTCTCGGGGCTGCACAGCCACTGCCTGAGACATCCAGGCTTTCTTCTTAGAAATTTGTGATGCAGCAAGAAGGGGGATAAGAGGACTCATTTCTCTTCAGCCCTGCAGGAAACGGGATGCAAATGATGACAAAACAGAGAATAGGCGGCTGCTGAAGGAGCGTGGAGATAGATACGGGCAGAGGAGAGCATGGAACTCATTTTAAAGAGCAACG